AAGAAATTTTATTATGAATGACTATTAAATTATATCAAAATTTTTTACTCTTTCAACTGTGCTCCTGCAATAAAACCAACTTGTTCATGAGGTATCATTGTTTTTGTCTACTGATGGACTTGATTTTGTAATATTTTGTTGATTTTTCACTTACATTCATAAGATATGTTGGCCTATAGTTTTCTTATTTTGTATTATCTTTGTCTGGTTTGGTATTAGGGTAATGCTGGCTTCATAGAATGAGCTGGCAACTGCTTCCCTCCTCTTCTACTTTTTAGAAGAGTTTGTGTAGAATTGATGTTATTTCTTTAAAAAAATTGGTTGAATTCACTCAGAAAACAATTTGGCCTTAGAGATTTCATTTTTTGGAAGGTTTTGAAAAGTAAATTCAATTTCCTTAAAATGAGGACTGTTTAGGTTATTATTTCCTCTTAGATGAGTTTTGGTACTTTATGGTTTTTGAAGTATTGGTCCATTTAATTTAGTTCATCAATTTATGTACATGGAGCTGTTTGTAGTAGTACCTTATTATTCTTTTTAGTGTCTGCCTGCTCTATAGTGTTATCTTCTCTTTCATTCATAAAATTAGTGATTTGTGCATTCTCTCTTTTTTCTTTCTCAGTCTTTCTAGAAGTTTATCAGATGTCCTGATATTTTCAAAGAACCAAGCTTTGGTTTTAGATTTGTTCTTTTGCTTTTCTGCTTTCAATTTCATGAATTTCTGTTCTTTATTATCTCTTTCCTTCTGCTTGTTTTGGGTTTATTTTGCTCTTTTTTTTTCTTGGGTGATAGCTTACATTATTGTATGAAATGTTTCTTTGTACACTTTAATGCTGTAAGTTTTCCTCTAAGCACTGCTTTAGCAGCACTCCCCAAATTTTGATATCTTGTATTTTCATTCTTTTCAGTTCAAAATATTTTCTAATTTCTTGAGACTTTCTGTTTACCACAGGGATTATTTAGAAGTGTGATTAATTTTCAAGTTTTTTGAGACTTTCCTGTTATCATTCTGTTACTGATTTCTTGTCTAATTCATTATGGTCAGAGAACCTTCTTTATATCATTTTCAACTTTTAAAAAATGTGACTAGGTTTATTTTATAGCTCAGGATATGATCTATCTTGGTAACTCAGGATATAGTGTTTCCTAGTAAGTTTTCCACATTCACTTAAAAAGAATGTTTATTCTTGAACTAGTGGTTACCAAAGGGGAGGGGTGTGGGAGGGCAGGTGGGGAGGGAGGGAGAAGGGGACTGAGGGGTATTATGTTTAGTACACGTGGTGTGGGGGATCACGGGGAGAGCAGTGTAGCACAGAGAAGGTGCATAGTGGATCTCTGGCAACTTGCTGCACTGATGGACAGTGACTGCATTGGGGTGTGGGTGGGGACTTGATAATATGGGTAAATGTAGTAACCAGAGTGCTTTTTCATGTGAAACCTTCATAAGAGTGTATATCAATCATACCTTAATAAGAAAATTAAAAAAAAAGAAGAATGTTTATTCTTTTGTTTTGGGTGGAGTTTTCTATAAGTGCCAGTTTGGTTGGTGATGTTGTTTGGTTCTTCTCTAACAGTGGTTCTCAACTGGGAATGGTTTTGTCCCCCCTCCTCCAAGGGACATTTGTCAATGTCTGGAGATATTTTTGATTCTCACAAATTAGGGGAAGTTGTTGCTGGCATCTAGTAAGTAGAGGCTAGAAGTGCTAGAGGTAGAAGTACAGCCGCCTCCAAGAAATAATTAACCAATCTGAAATGTTAATGTTCCTGAAATTGAGAAACTCTGTTCTACAGCTCTGCTGATTTCCTAAGTGCTCCGTCAGTTAATGAGAAAGAAGTGTTGGAGTCTACTGCTGTAATTGTGAACTTGTTCATTTTTCCTTTCTGCTCTGTCAGTTTTTGCTTTATGTATTTTCAAGCTTTGTTACTATGTTCATACACATTTAGGACTGTGATGTCTTCTTAGTGAACAGACTCTTTTAAGATATGTAATCTCTGGTAATTTTCTTTACTCTAAAGTCTACATTGTAAGATAATAATATAGCTAGTCCAGCATTCTTTTGTTTAGTGTCATCATGGCGTATCGTCTTCCATCCCTTTACCTTTTTTTGGCTGTTAAATGATTCTTTATTAAACTATTTTCCTTTGTAGTTTTTAAATAGCTTGAAATTCCATGGCGCCATTGTTGATGTCTTCCATCACCGTTGCAGTTCACAGACTGTGCGGGTGTCTCCAAGATCTCTTTAATGATAGAGTTCTCTAGCTAAAGATCAGTGATAAATCTCATCTTGACAATTGAAAACTGTTGAGCAATGTTTACAATCTCATTAAAAGTGCTATTTTCACCATGTTTACTGTTTTTTTTTTTTGTCTCTGGGTGGTTCTTTGAGGACTTTGATGATCAGGGCAGAGGCAGAATGTACCACCTTAATCTGGACTTGTCTGTTTTGAATGGTCATATTCTCCTTAATCCTTAGACCATTTCAGTCACCAGTTGTCTTGGTGATGTGAACATTTCCCTTGTTCCAGGACTTCTCAATTTCAAGAATATTAATATTTCAGATTGGTTAATTATTTCTTGGAGGGGGCTGTCCTATAAATTGTAAGACGTTTAGCAGCACAAGGGATCAATTACCAAACAAGGGAAAAGATCACAGAGAGCTGATCTTGGGGGCCAGGGACGTCATGGTGCTGACTCCTGACTGCCCCACTAGTGTACCTCAGGTACATGACTTCAGTCTCATTGGGATTGAGCTTCAGTGACACAGTGGAAGCAGATGGTGTCGGATAAACCCAGATATGGGAGGACAGAAGAAAGTTGCACCTTGGCCTTCTCCAGGTCAAAAGCCAAAAGCCTAAACCTGTAGTGTTATCCTACCTACATCATTTTGTTTGAAGTGAGTTTCTTGTTGACACCATATATTTTGTTTGTGTTTTTCATCCATTTTGACAAACTCTGTTTTTTATTTGGTTTCTTTAGACTGTTCAATGTATTGTTTGACATGTTTGGATTCAAGTCTACTACTTCATTATTTGTCTTCTGCTTGTTCTCTATTTTTTTTTTGTTTTTCTGTTTTCCTTGCCTGTCTTCTTTTGTTTTTTTGACTTTTTTTGTATTCCATTTATCTATTGCCTTTTTTTTACTGTATCTCTATATTTTTGGTTGTGCTAGGGATTACAATACATATAGTTAGCTCTTAAGTGTTTAGTTGGAATCAACACTTTACCACTCATAGTAGACTATAGAAACATTACCACAATATTGGTCCCTTTATCCTCCACTCTTTATGTTGCAGTTACTGTATATATTATCTCTACATACATGGAAAACCTCATCATAAAATGTCATAATTTTTGTTTTTAACTGTCAAATATATTTGTCAGAACTTAACAGGAGAATAACAGAATAATAGTTTATTGGAATACCTCCCACTCATATGTATATGCATACTTGTATTAATAGTGTCTTCTGTAGCTCTGATATGTTATAGACTTTCCTGTCTCAGAAACATCTCTCTATACACATTCACACACACACACACACGTCCATTTCATTACTGAACAATACAGACAATATGTATGACTTTTTTGGTCTTTTGCTGGTGGAGTATACACTCAGCATGTGAGTGCAAACTCAAGTAAACAGTTTATCATGTAAGCAAGAATACTTTTGGAAGAGAAAGGAGATGCTATTACTAACGTCAGGACAACTGAACCTTATGAAGTACATCATAAATAGCACTGCGGCTAGGGATGAAGGACTAGTGGTGATTTGAACCACAACTGGGAGAAACAAGTGGCAACAGTTCTAACTTCATAAGGTTTGAAGATCATGTAAGAGCAATTCCCAGGGATGAAATAAATCAGTCATTCAGAACCTTGTCCCCAAGCTTAAAGAGGTTTCCTTGAGCACAATCTCTCTTCATATTCACAACCATTATGCAAGGGAGGTGTTGTTATTCCCACAGCAAAGATAAAGAAATGGTGGCTTGGAGAGTAAATGCAAAACGTCCAAGATTCTCACACCCAGAACTTTGTAGAACTGACACTAGGACTTTGCCCTATCTGATTCCAGGCACCAACCTGGAAGCCATATGATGTCAGGTACTGCAAACAAACTTTCGTGACAATGGACCAGGGCTCAAATCCCACTTCCTGGGGCAATACCAGCTCTGTGATCTTTGCTGACCTGTATGATTACAGTGGCATTGTAAGAATAGTAGCTTATGTTTATGCAGTGCTTTCCATGTGCCCTGCTCAGCTAAGTGCTTTCCCCATGTTATCACATTCACATCTCACGCTAACCCTATCATGTAGTGCTATTAGAAACCATATTTTACAAATGAGGAAAAGAGTCTGAAAGAGCCTGGAAATGTGCCCACTGCATGGGAGATAAATATTACTTTCCCTTCACTCCTTACCACAGGTCAGAGATGGTGCATGTCCTGAACCATTCTGTGCCTCATAATATTGTCCTGGAAGATTTTAGGAGTAGTGCCTTCTCCCAATGAATGTGCCTCCTTCTCCAGTTGTTTTGAAGGCTAAAGGATTGCTTGTTATATCGTGTATGTTAACTTTGTTGGTTTATTTTTTTGTGGCCAGAATCCCTCCACTTTCTTGAAACCGTTTTGTCCCATGCCTTGATTGTGGCCATGCATGGGAAACAGCAGGTGGTGCCAGATGACAGGTGGTGTGGGAGCCCGTTCCTCGGTGGGAGGAGGCGAGAGTGAGCGATCAGGCAGGCAGCTGCCAGGAGCTCTTCCCCTCTCGCTGGCGCCTCGCTCTCAGAAGCTCCCAATCCAGACACAGGCAAGGCGCTGTCCTTTCAGCACCACAAGCTCAGGCTGAGGAGGGAGGTCTCCTGGCCGTCCTCCTCCTCTTCAAATTGGCGTGAATCTGCTTATTCACACACACACACACACGTCCATTTCATTACTGAACAATACAGACAATATGTATGACTTTTTTGGTCTTTTGCTGGTGGAGTATACACTCAGCATGTGAGTGCAAACTCAAGTAAACAGTTTATCATGTAAGCAAGAATACTTTTGGAAGAGAAAGGAGATGCTATTACTAACGTCAGGACAACTGAACCTTATGAAGTACATCATAAATAGCACTGCGGCTAGGGATGAAGGACTAGTGGTGATTTGAACCACAACTGGGAGAAACAAGTGGCAACAGTTCTAACTTCATAAGGTTTGAAGATCATGTAAGAGCAATTCCCAGGGATGAAATAAATCAGTCATTCAGAACCTTGTCCCCAAGCTTAAAGAGGTTTCCTTGAGCACAATCTCTCTTCATATTCACAACCATTATGCAAGGGAGGTGTTGTTATTCCCACAGCAAAGATAAAGAAATGGTGGCTTGGAGAGTAAATGCAAAACGTCCAAGATTCTCACACCCAGAACTTTGTAGAACTGACACTAGGACTTTGCCCTATCTGATTCCAGGCACCAACCTGGAAGCCATATGATGTCAGGTACTGCAAACAAACTTTCGTGACAATGGACCAGGGCTCAAATCCCACTTCCTGGGGCAATACCAGCTCTGTGATCTTTGCTGACCTGTATGATTACAGTGGCATTGTAAGAATAGTAGCTTATGTTTATGCAGTGCTTTCCATGTGCCCTGCTCAGCTAAGTGCTTTCCCCATGTTATCACATTCACATCTCACGCTAACCCTATCATGTAGTGCTATTAGAAACCATATTTTACAAATGAGGAAAAGAGTCTGAAAGAGCCTGGAAATGTGCCCACTGCATGGGAGATAAATATTACTTTCCCTTCACTCCTTACCACAGGTCAGAGATGGTGCATGTCCTGAACCATTCTGTGCCTCATAATATTGTCCTGGAAGATTTTAGGAGTAGTGCCTTCTCCCAATGAATGTGCCTCCTTCTCCAGTTGTTTTGAAGGCTAAAGGATTGCTTGTTATATCGTGTATGTTAACTTTGTTGGTTTATTTTTTTGTGGCCAGAATCCCTCCACTTTCTTGAAACCGTTTTGTCCCATGCCTTGATTGTGGCCATGCATGGGAAACAGCAGGTGGTGCCAGATGACAGGTGGTGTGGGAGCCCGTTCCTCGGTGGGAGGAGGCGAGAGTGAGCGATCAGGCAGGCAGCTGCCAGGAGCTCTTCCCCTCTCGCTGGCGCCTCGCTCTCAGAAGCTCCCAATCCAGACACAGGCAAGGCGCTGTCCTTTCAGCACCACAAGCTCAGGCTGAGGAGGGAGGTCTCCTGGCCGTCCTCCTCCTCTTCAAATTGGCGTGAATCTGCTCTGACGCCCAAGAGTGCAGCACAGTAAGTAGGCATTTGTTTTTCTTATAACAACTCCCCTATATACTCCAACCCTTTACCACCGCTTTTACCCCTACAACTACCCTGTTTTGTTTAATAACCTTCCATCAGCAGGAGTGACAAGAGAAATTCAGTTGTGCTGGGCTTCTGGGGGTGGGGTGGGAGCAGCATTTGACTTCCAAGGGAGCTGGAGAGGAATAGCTGTGATATGTTTATTTAGTTGGCAATCTTGCAGTATGGGGGTTGCTAACTTTCCATGGAAGCAAAAAAACAAAAAACAAAAAACAAAAAACGATGGCCCTTCGCTGTTGAGGAAACGGAGGCATTCCATGGCTGAATAACAGGGTTGGGTTCAAGCCATTTCTTTTTTGCTTTAGGAATTTGTATCTCCTGTACAACCTACATATTATGTGAAAAGAAACATTATACATGGAGACACTGAAGGCATGTATTGTGTTTTAGGGAGATTGCTGGAGGAAAACCAATATAATAAAATAGTAACCAGGGTGGTAAGATGAAATTTATCATACTGCAGGGTGACCCAAAATAATAGGATTTAATTTTGTACCAAGAATAATTTTTTTTTACTGAGATTATATGACTACATTAGCTCTAGTTGCTTGGATATATTTTTAAAGCTTGTATATTGTTTTTGTCAGTCTGGGATTTTTCTTGATTTTCCCAAATTTGAGGACAGTTGAACCCCGTCGGCAGGTGGCACATTTTGATGATTTAAAGAAGTTTCACTGGGTAATGGAAATCATGTCAGGAAATCTAGAGAAAGATCAATGACTGAGCTCTACACCGGAAGCCTCCCAAGTGGAGCTGTTGAGGACAGTGCTATTTTCCCTGTCTTCAGCCTCTCTTTCCCTGCCTCACCTTCCACCGTAACTAGCATCCCACTGCTTGCCTTAGGTCTGGGAAGAAAGGCATAAGGATGGTGAAGCTGAACAGCAACCCCAGCGAGAAGGGAACCAAGCCGCCTTCGGCTGAGGATGGCTTCCAGACCGTCCCTCTCATCACTCCTTTGGAGGTTAATCACTTACAGCTGCCTGCTCCAGAAAAGGTAAAGTGGTCGCTCTTCTCATCAGTTCCCCTATGCCCCCCATCTCAGGAAACAAAGCAGGAAAAAATTCCGCCCTCACCAAACCCTTTCATTCCCTCATCAGCCAAATATGTTCCTTTCCTTGTAAAATGCAGAGACATCTCTTGTGTTATTTCAAATTTATGGTGTCTGTTCATTTTATTGTTCACATATAAATACATGAGCAGGAAAATTAATTGTTCCTTTTTAAAGTTTTGTCATAGCAGATCAGTAGTAATAAGCTTCTAGGTGGTTACAGAGAAAATTGTCTTGATTGTTTTGGGAAGGTGTATAAAAAATTGACTGGTATAGATTTGAGGACAGAGATTTGGATGCAGCCCAACAAACATTGAGTTTGCACCTGCCAAAGCCCTGCCCCTGTGCTAGAAGTTGGTTATAAAAAGACAAATTACAAAAACCCTATCTAGTATATACAGTTCATATGATGCATTATGGTAGATGCTATACTTGAGCATTACAAAGGTTGTGAGAACACAGGGGTGGAAACAACTAAATTCTGTTGGGGTGGGGAGGGGACTGGGAGGACAGGTAAGGTAAACTGCAGAGGAGAACATTTGAATTTGGCTTTTAAAGGTGAGTAAAAACCTTCCAGATATACTATGGAGGACAAGACATTTAAGTCAAGGGGCACATATATGCAAAGCATGGAGAGCTTTTGGGAAATAGCATGACTGGAGTAGAGTGTCTTTGGGGGAGGCGTGGCTGGAAATGAGTGACTGGCTGATGGCACATCTCCTGACATGGGAGTAGTCCATGAAGGACAGAGGTGGGCATTTATACAAAGGTGGGGGAGTTATGCCATGGACGCAAATGGGAGAAACATTATTGTCTAAGATCTACCTGAGAGAATTTGGGGTTTTATAATGTGAGCTTTTGTACACTGTGAGAGAGATTTGGAGGCAAATGATGGAGTTCCCTGGCTGAAGAGTGAACAATGGATCATTCCATCTGTTTGATTTTCTCCCTGGCATCTCCAGGAGGGCATTGTGTGTCTTAACCAACTGGCTCTATCCAATGAACTGAAGAGGAGCCAAAGCTAGATGAAGGGCCTGGCTGATTGGCTGGGGGTTGAGTCATCATCTGTTTTGAAAGTGCAGAGGTTGTCAGTATGAGAGAGTGCATGATGGTGGCAGAAATAAAGACTCCTTGAGATATCCTGAGAGAATGATAAGACCTTCAAAAATAATTTGAACAGGCAGTTAACATTAAGGAAAATGAAAGGAGAGTATTAATTGGTATCTGCTATGTGTGTAGCAGAGGTTCTTGGGTTTTGACTGAATATTAGAATCACCTGGAGAGCTTTTCAAAATTTTGATATCCAGGCCACATCACAGAACATTTGTATCAGAGTCTCTGGGGGGTGAGACCCAGGTGTCAGTATTAATTAAATCTCTCCAGGTGACTCTTGTGTGCAGCCAAAGTTGAGAACCACTGTGCTAGATGCCCACTTCCCCTGGGAGTCAGGGATTATGCACTCACATATATAGACAAAAAGCTGAAGGGTTAGAGAAATTTGGTTAGTTTTTCCAAGCTCACAGAAGGAGTAAGTGGCAGTGCTGGAATTTGAACCCATATATAGTGAAAATTGGAGAAGAGAAGGAAGATATTCTCTTGAGGTTTTATGTGGTTTCAGGAAGAATCTTTACCCTTTAGCCAATACCTACAGCCTCGAAAATCTATATATCCCAAGAATTGTGCAAGGAAAAGAGATTTTGATAAGGTCATACAATCTCTTCCCCTAACCCCTACGCACACTTGTAAGTCATCCAGTTACCATGGTCTCTGTCTCCCATTATTCCCCCACCATATTCTCTCCTGCTTCCAAGCATTTCCACTTCTCCTTGAGAGAGGAGACAGGCCCAATAAACATGGAGCACCCAGTCCAGATGTACCAAAAAGCTTCCCCAAAGCCTGAAGGATAAATGTACTGGACCTGCATGTGTAGAAAGGGAAACCAATGCATCCTGAAAGATTCAAATGCCTACAGGGACACATTCTCACAGGAGCACATCACGGACTTTCTCTGATGTTCGTGACAAAGTCTTTCTACTAGGAGGACCTCAGTCTCCTCCTCTGTGAAATGAGGGGTATCACACCTACCACACAATGCTCTGAGCAAACTTAGATGTGGCTTCATATGTAAGGTGCCTGACACAAAATGAACTGTAAGAGAATAAAAATTATTCTTGTCAAGTGCTTCCTAAGTGTTAGATACTGTTCTAAGCCATAAGTACAGACACACACATATACACACATGTGCACACACATTATTTTCTTTCATCCTTTCTAGTTAATAGGACCCAATAAGAGAGTTGCTACTTAAACCCAATTTTTAAAGATGATGAAACTGAGGCATGAAGAGGTACAGTAATTTCCCAAAACACATAGGTGGTGAGCATCCTGGCAATGTCTGGAGAACCCAGAACCCACGCAGTGTTGTTCCAGAACCTTCCATCTCAGCAGAAAGAAGGAGCCAGCTGACTTGTAAGTCCAGACTTGGGCTCTAGTTTGAGATCAGTTGCTAGCCCACAGAGCAACTTGTATGAGTTGTTTCTCCTCCTTTAGGCCTGTCTCCTCTTTTCTGAGAGATAAATTGTATTAGCAGTTTTCTGTGCTATTATTTAGATTTTATAGTATTTACAAGAATAAACAAGTTTTATCTCCTGACATTAGAACAGATATGTTAAAGGTGAATTGCACTCAAGAAACCAGTGGATCCTCCAAATGCTTAGTGACCAGAACAGACTCTGGAGCCACCACTCTAGGTGGGTTCACATTCCTGCCCTACTTTTTATTGGCCTACCTGGGCTGATGGCTTGAAGTGAGGTTCTTAAACTGCCTCAGCCTCCTTGTGTGTAAAGTGGGGATGGTAATACTGGGACTCATCTCTTAGAGCTACATAGAAGTGAATCCTGACACCAGTTGTCAGCTCTTTGACTAGGTTCCAGTCAGATGGTGAGTGTGTGATGCTAAAATGGTTATCAGAAAGAAGTATATTTAACACCAGATAAAAATCAAAATTACATTTTTTAAAATGTAAAATACAGAATATGCTTGGTATGTAATAGTGACAATCATCCTTCTATTTGTTCATTAAATACTCTTTAGTATACAATATGAGTTTCATAAATTTCCAAAGAGGAAAACCTTTTGGAGGTTAAATGAAGAGGATGAGCATGCCTGCAGTCCTTGCTCCGGGCTGGGAACGGGCTTGCAAGGCACTCACATCTGTTATCTCAGCTAATCTTCCCAACGGTCCTGTGAAGCTGGTATTTGTGTGCCCATTTCACTGATGAGGAAGCTGAGGCTCAGATCAATGGCGTGACTTGTCCAAGCTTCACAAACAGAGTTGAAGAGTAGGCGTTGGAAAACTGGTACACCCGACACACCAGTTTTTCCCTCTGCACCATGCTGCCTTCAATAATGAGAAGTTTCCCGCCCCCAGGAGAGCTCTTCCTCAAATTCTACATTCCTTCCTCTGTGGCCACACCTCCTCCTTGATTGCCCCCGTACCTGCAGGTACAGCCTGGGACGATCCTTCAGAAAGAACATCCCAGCCTCCAGTGCTCCCTCCACACCCAGTGCTGCAGGGTCTGGTCCTCGCCTCAGGAGGAGAGACTGGCTTGCCTCATGGTTGGTGTTCCACCTCTTCTGCCACTCTAACCAGGCCTCCACACTGCACCTTAGACAGACCTCTAGACTGTGACTAGGTCCTCCCCTGGGAACCCTTTTCAGTCATGTCTACAGGATATGACCTTCAAATCCTTACCTTGGCATTCTAGGTCCTTCATTATCGACCACCTGTAGTTACACTATGGCTATACTAATCACATTGGAAAGTATTCACTCACTCACTCACTCACTCACTCACTCACTCACTCACTCACCCACCCATTCATCCAGCACATCTTGTTGGGCACCTTCTATGTGCCAGGCACTATGCTAGGCTGTGCATAGACAGCCATGAAAAGTAAGGCACAGCCACTGCCTTCATAGAGCTTCCAGTCCAGTGGGAAAGAGGACTTCAAACAAGCCATCACACAAATAAAAGTGCAGAGATGCAAGTCATGAGAAGGGCTATTAAGGAAAAAGTATGGTGCTATAATGTAAGAGAGAAATAGGGCCTAAGGGGACCTTATTATGATTGAAGAATGGTCAGGGAAGTCCGTCTAAGGAAGATCCTAAGTCTTGGCTGAGACCAAGAGGATGCTTTGGTAAGGGGAGTAAGGGGCAGACGGACCAGCACGTGGACAAGCATTGAGGGACCTGGAAGAACTGTCAGTAGGCCAGGTTGGCTGGGCACACTGAATGAGGTAAGAGACTTGGGAGGTAAGGTGGGGTGGATGCCAGTTTATGTGGAGACCAGTGTATTTTCTTGAGGGGATTAAAGCAGGAGAGTAACAGGATCAGATTTCTGTTTTAAGTATGGTGCTATAATGTAAGAGAGAAATAGGGCCTAAGGGGACCTTATTATGATTGAAGAATGGTCAGGGAAGTCCGTCTAAGGAAGATCCTAAGTCTTGGCTGAGACCAAGAGGATGCTTTGGTAAGGGGAGTAAGGGGCAGACGGACCAGCACGTGGACAAGCATTGAGGGACCTGGAAGAACTGTCAGTAGGCCAGGTTGGCTGGGCACACTGAATGAGGTAAGAGACTTGGGAGGTAAGGTGGGGTGGATGCCAGTTTATGTGGAGACCAGTGTATTTTCTTGAGGGGATTAAAGCAGGAGAGTAACAGGATCAGATTTCTGTTTTAGGAAGAGTCTTGTGTTTGATGTCAGCACAAGGAGCTCTGGACAAGGGATTATGCTTGGTCTCCTGCTATCTACTTCCTCTTTCTTTCCAATTCATCCTTCTTGCAGCACCAGGGTAATTTCCCTAAAAGAGAGGCAACTGGGTTTCCTGCAGCAATCCCACCATGAATGGTGGAAGCAGAGAAGAGAGTGAAAGGCAGGAGATGAGC